CGACGATGACGGTTCCGCGCAGAAGGGTTTATTGCCGTTAATTATTAAGGCCTTATGCCTGGCTGGCTCGTTCGCGTACGGATCGTACAGATCGCTCTTATTAGATTCAGCGTCCTCCTCCGATATATTTCCGATTCTCATGGATTCCAGCAGGGAGTGGATCCCCGGCGTATTGTGATTCGCAAATATGGTCCAAAACGGATCAACGGTGCCGCCTGCAGCCATCATAATTTTTGAAGGGCCACCCGGATGCTTGTCGACAAATTCCGTTATATCGTATACACCCTGCCCGAAGGTAACCCAGATACGATTTTCCTTGCTGTCGTGCTTCCCCACTTCTTCCAGAGTGTAGGTCTTCATGTCCTTGCGTAATTGACCACATTGTACGTTTTGCGTTGCGCTGAGAGCGTAGACGTTTCTTTTGTATTTGAAAGTGATGTAATAAGATATACCTAAGGCGGCAACGGCAACACACGTTGCGTACAACGTAGCAGGCTCTCGCGTATTCCTGGAGGACCCATGCTCCTTCTCCGTGGGAGACTGCTGGCAGGTGTTATAACCTCTTACTATCACCTGCAACGGTGGTATCTGCGATCTGAAATTAATTGGTGACACACGTGTGAAATTATACACACAAAAATATGTTGTATAAAACATAATACTGTTTGGAATAGCTAGTGTTGTATTTTTAAAAGAGTCAAGCCAATATAGATACCTCTGTCTAATTCCGTGAAATATTTTCCAGCGTAAACTCATAACGTTGACTTGCGGACCGTTTAATTGATATTTCCGTGAAATCAACTGCGTAAACCGGTATCAACCAGTGATCCAAATGATCGACGTCTCGTCTGCCTCGACTGCATGGTCTCGACGACTGACCTGACCCTGTGTTCCTTTTTTACTGCCAGTACTGAAAATCTATAGTTTGCGTCACGTATACTATAGATTTTCAGTACTGCCAGTAAAAAAGTGTGTGTGTGTGTGTACTTCTGTAGTTTCTGTACACAACTGTACAAACATACACAACACGTGAAGACTGGAGCGAGAAACAGAGAAAAGGAAAGAAGATGAAAAGTGCTAAAAGTTCAGCTCAAGTGCAAAGAACAAATTTAAAATGTAATACTTTCTGCACTTATAACAAGATATAATATTTACATGTATATATAATCAGGCGTTGGAGAGAAAAGAAGGAATGATAAACAAGGAGGTGAAGGAGGTTCGACCACCAAAACAAAACCCGAGTTTATCGGTCACGTGGTTAGCTCTTGACGTGCCTCGGAACGGCGCAGTGCGCACGCGCGGTCCCAGGTCGTAATTATGGGTCTGTTCGCGTTGCTTGCACTTTTTGCACTCAGCATCTTCGCTTTCTCTCTCTCCAACGGCCGAATATATATTTATCTTATTTCAAGTGCAAAAATGTTTGGGGATTTCAAGCAACGCGAACAAGCCTTTATATATATATTATTGTATTTTTTGGTAATAATTTAGTTTAGGGCCGGTCTCACAGTCTCCGATTAACGTGATTCTCCGATTAAACTCACTCTGCATTTCTTTCTAACTATCCCCCTAGAAAGAGACGAAGAGTGAGTTTAATCGGAGAATCTAGGGAGAATCACGTTAATCGGAGACTGTGAGACCGGCCCTAAGATTCCTGTCATACCGACGAGATGTAGCTATACACTGTGGCTGCATTCGAGAAGCGCGCTATTAGCGCTATTGCATCATTCTGTCTTTATTGCTCATCAGATGTAAAACAAGGATAGAATAAGCAAATAGCGCTAATAGCGCGCTCCCCGAATCCAGCCTGTGATGTAGCAACACTGAAGTCACTGAACATGCGCCCTGCGGCCACATGCGCATGCTCAGTGGCCGCACGCGCATGCAAAAGTGCGCCAATTTTAAACATGATGACTGGTCAATCATGCAGAATAATCAAACGTCTTCAAGCAGTTAGGTATCACGCTGGGAGTTTTGTTTAGTTTTATTATGCGGGGGAAGGCGCAAAGCGTGATATCTAACTGCTTGACTGAAGACGCTTGATTGAACGAGCGATCTATTTTGCACTAGGAACTACGTTTCGATCATTGGACTTTTTGCGTTTTTTATCATGTTTTTATTACTCTGATTCAGTCAGATATCGATGTCGAACGTGTCTTGCTCACACGGCTTTTTCACCCAATTTCCAAGCTGTGCTTTCACGAAAGCATCCTTCAATTGACGCTTGGCAAGCTGCCCAAGAAAAAAAAGAGACGATATATGTTATATAATGGTATTTAACGAAACATATCGAGCAATGACCAATATCTTACACATATTATATATATATATATATATATATATATATGTTATTAATCAAGAGATGCAATTACTTACCGAATAATCTTGTACTGAAGATTTTGCCTCGCTGTACTGGCGACATCTGTCCTTGTCAATATCGTTTATAGTCGGAAGTTTAAGTAAAAGATTAAAGAACCGCCTGAAAAATGCTTGCTTAGATATCCTAGAAGATTTCATAAGTTCATCTTTGCCAGTTGTGCAATTTATAACTTCGGCTTCGGTTTGTCCTAATATGTAATGAAAAAAGAAAAATTTGTTAAACTATCCTGCATATTAGTTTCTGTAAAAGACCAAGAAAGTGTACAAACCGATTGTCCAATTGACGCTATAATTAGGCGCTTTTCCAGGTTGCCTGACCTCAGAAGATGTGATTAGACTCATTAACGGTTTATTAAGTCTATATGGCGGTGGTAAACCCTGAATAGTATGTTCAATGCGACCGCACACCGCTCTATACATATGACTCGGATTCAAGAGACTGCCGAGGACAATGCTGTGGAAGTAAATTGGCTCGATGAAGTGGCTTAGGAGTGCACCCTGCACACCAAGTACGTTCCACCGAGCTATTTTGTCCGAACACGACATCGTCAGCAGTCTTTGACCCTTTAATTCAAGCTTGAAATTAACATGCCGATAAAAAACAATCGGCGCATTTGTATAAAACTGTGCATTTGTGTTAAAAGCAGACGCACGTTAAAAAATGTGCATTTGCCTTTAACATAAATAATACATACCATCATTACACCATCCCAGGTTTGAATACTCTCATTACTTTTTACAGGAATAGTCCCTTCGCCAGATTCTATCTTTGTACGTAATTGACCTCTAGCTCGTCTATTGGGATGCTTGTCTATGTTATCGTTGTCTTCGTGAGGTGAGAAAATTCTCGCGTCTCCGCAGGGGGCGGTATTGATATATAAATGAAATTGGATGCCTTGTTTTAACTTGAATCCCTTCTTAGCTGGCTCGAGAATAGATTCGAGGCCTTTCTCTTCAGTGTGCAATTCTAATTGTTTATAAAGATACTCACAGAGACACCGTCGTGCTACTACTTCTGCATGACAATCATTTAGAGCGCCACCAGTTTGGCTCAAATGATCGCCCGAGATGCATTTCGTACCTTTAACAAAAAAAAAGACATTTTAGTAGATACTTATTAATTATAGATGTTTTGTCTGAATATAAAATAAAAGGTATAAAATAAATCCGTCTTACCGGTAGTGACACAGATCAGTTCTACTTCTTGTCCTTTCGTTATTACAACGCCAGCTAAAACTTTACGTCGCGCGTGTTGCGGTTTGGATTGAATAAGTTCGTGGAATTTCTGGTTAACCATCTTGCCTATTTTGTCGGCTAGCATTTGCGGTAAACACATTTGCTCTTGAGAAAAATTGGCGCGCACAGGAAGTGGTAAACAAAACGAGGAAGTCTGGACGTTTTGTAATTTCGCTAAAGCGGCCTTACTCGCCGCGGCTTTCGCCAGTTTCTTACTCGGGCCGGTCCCTTCAAACGTCTCGCCATTAATAGTTACCGATATCGTAAACTTGGCATAACTTTCCCCGGTATCGGATATACAGTTATATACGACTCCTGGATATAATTCGTTAATCAACGCCACTGGACCTTTTTCTAGGATCTTATTAGTATTCTTTGGCTCTTGTGTTAGTGTTTTAAACGCATTGACAAGGTGATTATCACGTTCTGTGACGTCGCTCGTAAAATCTGGCTCAAGAGGCACAACAGGCTGGCAAGTATTGATAGCTTGGTGAACCTCAGGTGTATTTCTAAACTGAACGATGTTCCGTAAAGCAAGTTCAGCAGCCGCATG